GGGAGCCGTGGGGGAGGGGACCCCCAAGAGTGCCCAGGGGCCCTGCCTTCCTCCTGGGTTCCTGGGGGCTCTACCCCAGCCTCAGGAATTCCCCCTCCCCTCCCCCCCCCGTCTTGGAATGTTTGGTTAGAAATCCACAATGTGGTTCGTGGGGCAGGCTGGGGGCATCGCCTGGTAGCTGGACCCCTTAGGCCGGACAGGCTGTGCGGGGAGCAAACCAGGCAGGCCTCAAGGGCTCCCAGCAAAGGAGACGATGTGGGGTCATTGTTCCTCAGGAGGCCCACCCACGGGCCCACCCCCACTCCACCCCCCGTCCTGCCCCAGGGGCTCCCTCCTCCCTCCTCCGTCCACCCGGCCCCTGGCACGGGAGGGTCTCTCCTCCCCACAACCACATCTGGTTCTCGTTAGGGTCCCAGGATGCCTCTGCCTGCGGCCCCCCTCTCCTGGGGGAGGTGGGCAGGAGGATTAGGGGTGATTAGGAACACTCCTGGCCAGGAGAGAAGGAGGAGGGAAGGAGGGGCCTGGCCTGTTATAAATAGCAACACCGTGACTCCATCACCCCATCATTCACTGTCGATTCCAAGTTCAGTCTCAAACCTGCAGCTTCAGCGGCCAGGGGCGGGGGTGGGGAGGGGAGGGTGCCCTGCTATGCCAGCTCCCTCTCCATCTCCTGTGCTTGGTCTTCCCTCAGGAGCCCCCTCCCCCGCCCATCAGGCGGGGGCGTCCCAGGATGGCGGGGAGGTCTCCGTAAGCACCAACCACACCTTCCCCTGTAGTCAGGCCCCTGCACCTGGGCTTGCCTCCTCCTTGCTGGGTTGCCTTGGGCCGGGGCCTTGCCCCCTCTGGACGAAGGGGATGAAGCTAAGAACATCAAGTCTGCAGACTTGATTGGGAGGTAAACCCATAAAGCATGGAGAGCAGGGTGGGCCTGGCAGGCAGGCCGGTGAGCCATGGTGCCACCCTCTATCACGTCACCGTCACACAGTAGGCGCTCAGTCAATGGACCTTTGGTTAGTAGGGAAGGATGGGTGGAGAAGGGGTTCTGGAACCTCGGCGTGCAGACTGGTCATTTCCGGCTTGAGACGCGCCCCTTGCCCAGGCCACACGGGGCCCTGGACGGCCATTGGCCGAGCTCGGTGGGTGTCCCTGGTCCCTGGCTGGGTGAGCCAGGGGTGGGGGCAGCAGGAGGGCCTGTCCCAGGCAGCGCGTGACTCCCAGGAGGGCTTAGCCCTCATTAATCACCTAAGCGGGGCTCAGCATTCCTGAAATGCCGGCCAGGGCCGGGGAGGAGCCGGGCGGGGGGCTCCGGGGACCCCCGGGCTCTGGGAACGGGCAGTGAGGTCAGCCACTCCGTCTGCGGACCACCCGCTCTGTGCCAGGCGCCCTGCAGCCCTCAACTTGTTTCACCCTCAAAATGAGCCTGGAAAGCGTTCGCTGTTCCTGCATTTTACTCAGGAGGAGGCTGAGGCACAGAGAGGGTGCGTGGCCTGCCCAGTGCCGCCCAGCGGGGAGTAGGTGAGCCCGGCTTTGTTCCCGGGCCGGTCTGAGCTCCCAGGGCTCACCAGGGGGAACATGAGTGCAGACCCCAGACTCAGCTCCCGGGGCCTGTGGGAGGTGCCGTCTGCCTCAGTGGGCTGCCCGCAGGCCAGCAGCGTGGGTGGGGCCGTCCTCCATTATCGGGGCTGACGCATCTCCCACGTCAGCCCCCTTATCACCCCGCCCTCTGCTCCCCCCGCAAGGTGACCCTGGGAGGGGAAGGCCAGCGCCGCCCTCTCCTCCCCACCGACGCCGGAGACCATGGGCCGCCTTTGCTGTGCGTCCCTCCCGGCGGAGGGTAGGGCCCGGCCCAACCGGGAAGGCCCTGGAGAGGGCGGTGGAGAGCACGCCCAGTCCGCCATCATGTTGCCGCTACGAAGCCAGGGCGGGCCCTCACCTCTCTGGGCCGCTCGCTGTGCGAAACTGGCTTAGCACCCCAGCCTGTCAGGGGGTGACGGGCATGTGCAGTGGGAGTAAGCTGGGCACGCCGTTTCTGTCCCCGCTCCCTCTCCCGCTGGGCCAGGAGGTGCAGGAGGCTCCCCCAGCCCATGGCGCATGGCGCACGCCCCCCAGATGGTGGTCCACCTACTAGGCTCCTCTCCCTCCCGGTGCCCACATGTGGGGCCGGCCACTGAACACGGCAGGACAGGGCGGCGGGCGGCCACTGGGCTTCTTGCTCCTCAGCCCCAGGGGCAGGGGGGCGGCTGCCCCTTTTACAGAGGAGAGGAGGGGCTGCGCCTGTGAGGACGCCGGAAGGGGGTGGAGGGCAGGAAGCCGCTGTCCGTCCGGATCTGCGCTCTGGCCCCTCCCCTCCAGGCGGCCCTGTGGGCTGGGGTGGTCAGTGCCTCCCGGGAGGGGTGTCAGGTGGGGGACGATGAGGGACTCTGCCCCACAGGGGTGTGTGGGGAGCCGGCGCGGCCATGGCATACTCATGCCAGCTCAGCCTGGTTCAGTGACCCTGAGAGGGGGTGAGGAAAGGCTTAGAAAAGACAGGCAAGAGAATGAAAGCTGGGTCTCGGTGGGACGCTGCCCCTCGGATGGCCAGCGCCCACAAGCCGTGTCTTTATTTTATAGCAGATGCCACGAGGCACAGTAAGGGCGTGGTCAAGATGTTTACAACATTCTCGTGGGTTTCCATCCTACTCAACCACATGCACCTGAGCTCTATCAAGCCCACATCACTCAGCTACGTGGGGCCACGTGTTCGGACCACAGGTTCAAGCTTTCAGCTGTAGCTGTTGGCTATAAACGTGCTGGGAAGGCGCTGCCCTCCAGCTGGGACCTGCACGTGACAATGAGAGGACTGTGCCCTCTCCTCAGGCGGAGGCTTGAACCTGTCCAAACACTACCCGCGCCCCACAGGGGTGTACATGGGTGGGGAGGAGACCCCGCCTGGGGTGAGTTGGAGGGCTGGGCCCGGAGGCCCACGAGTCTCGGGGGGCTGCACCCACCGCTCCCGGCTCACGTCTGCCCCTCCCCGCAGGCCACGACCTCAGCGGGGCCCTGGAGCCCTCCAACATCGACACCAGCATCCTGGAGGAGTACATCAGCAAGGAGGACGCCTCGGACCTGTGAGTGCCCGGCCCGCCTCCCGCCCTGCCCTCCGGCCTCGCCTCTACCTAGGAGGTGACAGGCCCTGCCTGGGACAGGCTGACCCCGCAGTCTGCCTTGCGGGGGGGGCTCCAGGGTTCTGGCTGGCGCTGAGCTTCCCCCCTTCTCCGCAGCTGCTTCCCCGACATCTCTGCTCCAGCCAGTACCGCCTCCTACGCCCACGGGCAGCCGGCCATCCCGGGCTCCAGCGGGGTCCTCCACCTGAGCCCGCCTGGGGGTGGACCCTCCCCGGGGCGCTATGGCCCCCTCCCTCCCCCGAGCTACAGCGCCCCGCTCAACTGCAACAACAACAATGGCATGGGCGCCGCTCCCAAGCCCTTCCTGGGGGGCTCTGGGCCCCCCATCAAGGCAGAGCCCAAGGCTCCCTATGCCCCAGGGTGAGTGAGGGCAGGGAGCGAGCGTGTGGGGGGTTAGAAGCAGGGCCCTGGGCCAGTGACCGTGGGCCTGGGAGGAGCTGGCCAAGGCCTGGCCGCGGTGGTCGGGCTGCCCAGTGGGCAGGTAAGGTGGGTAGGATGAGGGCCAGGCTGAGCCACGGGCGGCACGCAGGGCTCTGAGCAGAGGAGGGGCGAGGGCTGACGGAGGTGCTGGAAGAATCTATGAGAGCTGTGTGCAGAGTGGACAGGAGGGGGTGAGACTGGTGTTTACATTCACGGGACCACCTACACACATGTGCACACCTACATGTGTGTACGTACACAGACACGCCAACTCCCCTCACTGCGCGGCCCGTCCACTCGGTCGTGCGTTTCGCCGCCATTTCCTGTGGCTGCAGGGAGCTGGCTGAGGTGCAGATGTGGGACCCGATGTTCCACCCCAGCCGCCTCCTAGACCCTCCCGCCCACGTCAGAGGGACCCCAGCGACAGCCTGATTAGGGGTCAGCCTGGGTCTGGCAGTGACGGAGGCTCCAGGCGGCCGCCAGCCCAGCCAGCCAAGCTCCAGGGCAGCCCGGACACATGTTTGTGGGGCAGTCAGGGTGCGTGGGCTCTGCGGAAGGCCTGGGAGAAGGTTCTGGGTTCCCTAGCCGGGGACAGGGGCCCTGTCTTGGGGGGAA